ATCTTACAAGAATTTGTTAACATTTATTTGAGATAAATGCAAATGTTTCAGGAAGCTAAATAAGACATGATTTTATTGAATTGTTGTTAAATGCCCTTTTCTTTATTTTTTTTAAATGTTATGAGATTATCATCTATAATTTTAATGCCAATGTAGGGTTATAAATATAACAAAAAGACTGTTGAACTGTTTCAAAACATGTGGAACAAATTTGAATGATATGTTATTATTTCATTATACTTTTTCTAGTGGTTGTGTGTAAGAATCTATATTATTCCAATGTTCGTCAACAATCAAACATTAACTCACCTAGGGATGCAATGATTTGGAATGAGGGCCATTCACTCCAAGAAGTTTAAAACCCCTCAGCCAAGCCCCCACCCAATCAAGTCACACCCCCACTAGCAGTTAAGAGGAAGAAGCAGCTACAATCTCACATCACTCTGAGAAGCACAGAGCCGAAGAAAGAAGCCTGAAGATGATGAATGAGACTTCATCGAAACGTTGCCTAGATACTGCCAATCTTAGGCGGGAGAAAACCCGAATAACCAAAGATCGATCTATCTATCTATCTATCTATCTATCTATCCATACTTACATACATACATATACATACATACATACATACAGTAGCCCCAAACTTTTTTGAACCAGGGACCGGTTTCACAATTATTTATTCTTCCACGGTACCTGAGTAACGCGAGACTCCACCGCCAACGGGATGGCTCTTCATTTGAAGCCGCCCCCCCTTCGATGAAACTAAGGCGCGAGCACCCAAACGCCGCTTTCCAACTGAAAACCCGGAAGCACTTTACATCCGAAAACCCGGAAGCAACCGAAAACCCGGAAGCGCCGTCAAAACAAGATGGCGGCACCCAAGCTTTGCGGCCCGGTAAAAAATGATCCACGGACCGGGACCGGTCTGATGACCGGTGGTTGGGGACCCCTGCATACATACACACACACACACACACATGAAAAATTCAACTGATATGCACATTTGAATATCTACATAAGAAAAGAGATAATTTGCTTGTGAAAAGATCAATTTGTGTTGTAAAATAAATGTTATTTTCATATATATAGAATTCAATAGACAACATAAAAATAAATCATGATTGAAAACATAAAATTCCAAATTTGTTAACTGACCCAGATGATCAGTTGACATCATAGATTTCATCATGGTTACATGAACTAATGAAAAATTCAGAATCCTTTGGATCATATTTTTGCGGTAAAACTTATGAAATATTTTTTCTCCCATATGCAAACAAAAACTTTTGGTAAAATTCACTTACAGCATCTAACACTAAAGTCAAATCGTTAATCTTTAGGATTTGCAAGTTGAGATGTGTTACATTTATATCTGGTATGTGAGTTGACCAGCCCAAGTCAGCATAAATCTAATTTAATTAATTTTCACTTGATTCTAATTAGGTTTAAATTTCATATTTAAATTAAGATGTCTCACTAAAATTGTTATTTTCTAACCACCATTCTAGAAGCTGCTTAGCTTAAGTTTTGGAAGAACTTATGGATTTCAAACTACACCACTGTATTTACATACCTATATCATCACTATTATTTTGCAAAAATTAAGTTTAGTTTCTTTGATGATGAATACCACTATACAATTTTACCATAATTCACTGATCTGATTCCTGAGAACTCCCATGAAATTTCAAAATTCTCATCTACAGATTTGTCAGATTGTTTTTTATGTCATATAGCAATAATACTTAGAGTTATGTACCACTTCACAGTGCATTACAGCCCTCTCTAAATAGTTTATAGAGTCAGCATATTGCCCCCAACAATCTGGGTCCTCACTTTTCTGACCTCAGGAGGATAGAAGGCTCAAGGCTGTCAACCTTGAGCTTAGTGAGCTGCCAAACTGTTGGCAATCGGCAGAATTAGTATGTAATACTGATTCTAACCACTGTGCCACTCACCACAATAAAGATAGAGGTAGATTATGATATAGATCAGTGGTTGCCAAAGTGGGTGGTACCGCCCCCTTGGGGGCGGTGGGATACTTTACGGGGGTGGTAAGAGGCAAGAGGGCCAGCAGGGGGAGCTAAGACGTGGCAGGGGGGCATTTGAGGTGCCAGCCTCACAGGCTCACTGACTGCTGGTCACGCAGCCCATTGACTGTTTCATTGCTTCGTAGCTGGTGCCTTGAATGCGGAACCCGCACGCGGTGAGCCTTGCCAAGCCTGGGGGGGAGAGGTAGGAGGTGGTGGAAGGCTGCCCTCTCCGGTGGAAGTGGCAGAGGCGCGCCAGAAAGCCCGAAAGCAAAACCCTCCCAAGGCGTGCAGTGGAAGGGGTGGGTGGTCCAGCATTAGGGCCCCCTTCCCCGGAGAAAAAGGGAGCATGCAGTGCCCGCCTGGCCTCCGCCTCTCCAGCCAGCCGGGCTTGCACGCAGGATGCGGGTGGGTGCAGCTACGGCTCTCCAAGATGCGTGGCTCGGTCAGTTCGGCTCTACGTGGCTGTCCCGAACCTAGAACCTAGCCTTCCTCTGCAGTTCGGTTCTTCTCACTGAGCCCTGCTCTTGCTTGCTTAGTTTCCAAACAATTGTTCCCTCCGCCTCTGCTGGTCTGGGCTGCTTCCGCACACCTTCCTCCCCCCGGGCAGAGCATAAAGATGGGCGGAATGCTTCACTGAAGTTGGGAGTCTCTGAGTGTGTGCAGAGTACCTCACCTTGCTTGGCCCGATTATCGCATTTGGGGCTGAAATACATTATCTATTGTATCAAGGTGTTACTCTTCACTGAAACAAAGAGGTGGAAGATACTTCATGTTTCATTCTGTCCAGTTTCAAATTCCCATCTAAAAGTGTTCCAAGATATATTTAATTCTGTGTGATTTCATATTGCTATTTCAAATTATTGTAAGAGAACTTTCTTGAATTCACCTTATTTATTATCCATTACTCGTTGCTTAATAAGAAAACATGTCACTTAAAACTCTAAGGCACCAAAATCCTCCATTTCTATCAATATGCAGCTCCTCTACCTCTCTGTCCATGGGTTAATATGGAAAATCTGCGGTGTAGAAGCCTAAATGGATAGAGCTAGATTTTTAAAAAATCTAGAAACTTGTTTATTTACATATAACATCATAGTTGAAGTAGAAGTAGAGCTTTATAGCTCATTTAGTCAAACAATATTATTTAATGAATTATATAATTACATGTAAGTATACATAACACAAAGAAATAATTCTTTACCTTTAAACTTTGGCCCTTTATAACATTACTAAATGTTACTAAATTATCAGATAAATGGTTTGACATCTAGCCTATATCACAAAACCATGTAAAATTTTAATTGAAAATATTCAGAATAGAATATCATAACCAATGCTAATAAAACATAGTTTGCTAATATGATAGTAACACTGATTTCTATGATTATTTTGTTCATTATGGAGAACTTCACTAGATCCCAAACAGCAGTACATCTAATCTGCATATCATACATAAAAGCTGAGAAAAATAAATAAAAGGTGATTCAATCTTAGTATAGTATGGTCATCTTACAGTATTTTCATCTGACTACTGTAGTTACCTAAATTGATTCTAATTCATATGCCATGTGCATTCCAAACCAGAAAGTACTTTTAGATTTCTCTATTAAGAGTATCATTGAATCAAGATATGACAGAAGCTTCAAGCATCCTTTTTGACAGCAAATTCAGTATTATAATATACGATATTGTTGCTCATATATTCATTCATATGTGGCATCAAGCCTAGCAATTATGGGGTAATAAAAGATACCTTCTTAGAGTTAATGAAAAGTTTATATTAGAAATCTTGTAAACAGATTGAATCATAAGAAGAGGTGGTATACAAATAAGGATAAATAAAATACGTAAGCTCAAGTTAGGGACACTTTCGTTCAAGGTTCCAAATTATCTACAACAATTAGATATAAAGAGTTCAAGTTACATTCCAGAGTAACATTTTAAAAATGAAGGCACATGCTTAAAATTGAGAGTGGTATTCAATATAAGCAAGCATAAAATTATGTGTTATTAAAAAAATTAAATTAAACAACAAAGATCTTGATAATGACCATGGTAAAAAGCTCAGTCAGAATGTCATCTCAACACTTCGTTGTTGAAAACATACTGGCAATCTTGAATAAAGGAATAGAAAAACCAAACTTAATTTTGTAAAGCCTTTTCTAATATGCTCTAATCATTAATAATTGTATGAAATCCTGATCACTATTAGACTTATGCAAAAAAGTTATCATAAAAGGTATTCTTGCCATGAATGGAAATGAATTTTATTTATAAATAAAAATATAAAATATATGGTGTGATTTACCTCCAAAAAGTATTTTTGTATCACTTTAAAGCATTTCAGACAAGTGCTGCAGGACAAAGCTCCTTTCAGCCTTTTACTCAATGTACACTTCCCATTTAACAAAACTGTGTTTTCTTTTAAAATCCATATTTTCTAGTAATATTGGAGCACAGCTAAACTAAGGACAAAAACCTTTAGGACTCTACATTGAAATAAATGTTCATTTTATTTTAAAGTGAAACCTGAAAACAACTTACTATAGCAACATTATGAAAAAGAATTAATGCAGGGTGGGAAAAAAGGATTGGAAATTAATAGAACTTTTAAAAGAAATTAAATATAGCTTCATTCATGATTCATTTATACTAAAATAAATGTATAAAATTATTTTTTCTATTAAAATTTGCTTTTGCTTGCTTCAAATGTGTAGACTTACATTTACAGAAATACCATATTAGGCTGAATTAGGGCCTGGAAGTAGCATGCAATCAAATAAGGACCTACTACTTTTCCAAACTTCTTACATACTATACAAAAGTGTATATTATAATAAATCAAATACTCTTTAAGGTGCCCGAATTCTTGCTTTTGCTGCAGAAAATTAAAAATGGCTACAGATCATGTATCTTGGCAAGTGATGAATGTGGTAGAAAAGATGGGTGACCTGGAATTCTTTCCCTTACCTTTTTTAGCAAGTCACTGCAGACCATGTGTGAGTGTCCTCACTTTTCTCCTCAACTGATTGAAGCCTCTCTTTCATGGAGCCTCAAATTCCAAATGAAGTGAGCAAACATATTCCTTTTGAAAACAGAAGGCTGCAGAGTTATAGAGAGCCCTGTAACAAATGCAAAAGCATCCTCTGCTATCAGTACTACATCTCAAAGACATTCTGAAAATACATCTAAAAATACATTCTGAAAATGAGAAAGGAAAAGACTTTTTTCATAATCAAATTAAAATTTGGAATATTGAAGAGCAACTTTGGCACAAAGTTGCTTCAATTGTTAAGCCTTTTCAGATATTAAATACTGACAGAACATTCAACATGGTGTTTTTTTTTTAATTTCCATGTGATGGGACCCTCATTCAAAAACAGCCGAAGGGCAATTTGTAGCTGCACAATTACTTTATACTGAGAATCTCATCACCAAATTGCTTGTTTCTGCTAAATACATATATAGAAAAGATATAAGCATGTCCACATTCAAAATGATTTAGACAGTGGATAGAGTTCTTTCCTATAAGGTGAGTATTGGAAATCATTTTTACTGTCATCTGAAACTATTATTCTTTTTCTCCTCAAACCAGTACTACAAAATAAAACCTAATTAAGAGTTGATAAGAAGGCATAATCATGCTGAGTTAATGCACAATAGAAGCAGATATTCTCCCATTTAACTTTTACCATCAGAACACAGCAACTGAATTTGAGACCTCAGCTCTAACATGATGGAATATTTGGTTTCCAAGACTTACCAAGAGTTTATTCCAAATTAATTCAACACCCATGAACTCTACAATTTTGTCCACTGATACTTTCTTTACACACTGCCTGTTTCCTCAAAAGGCCTTGAATGGAAAGACGAAAAGCACTGGTTGGTTGACTGATTGTTTGATTTCTACACAAGTCTATCCCTCTGGCAATAAAAGAAGCTTTCAACAATACAAATATAAAAGTGTATTTAAAATAATATGACTAAAATCTGGAAAAAGCAAGAATTAAATAGAATAAATTAACAATTAAAAGTCTGACAGTAATAAAATATTTTCACCAACCTCTTGATGATGGAGACAACCAAGGGTAATTCTTAAGAGAATGTAGACTACTGATGGAGGGCATCAGTAAGAGCCATTTCCCATGTACTGGATAGACAAAATCTCCAGATCCTCCTTATCTTCAAAAGAGTTTCTCCAGTTGATCTGAGGAGACACGCAGCTTTATTGCGGGAAAGGTACACTAGCAGATAGTTAGGCTCAATCTTGACTAGGATTTTAGAGATCAGTATAAAACCTCCCTATTGTTTTGATTTGATCATAATTTCTGTAGTTTGCAGCTATTAATTAGCTATTCATAAATTTCTATATATATTTGCAGCTGCCATCAACCTATCCACAATTTTTATACAAATACAATTTTTTGGATTCTTTTACGGGCCCTGAAATATCCCAAAACAAACAGTCCAGGAAATCCAATGCTACACCAGATCAAAAGACACTGTTATACAGTGAGCAGATGCTGTATACTCTTCACTATCCCAGCTACCAAAATACAGCAACCTCAAGTATTTACAATTTTTCAAAAGATCAGATGTAACTTTGAACTAGAGAGATGGATTCCATATCACTTTCCCACCCTCCAACTTTAGCCTGGCTGCAACATGAAAAGAACAGAGTTGCGAAAGACTAGCCATCTCTTCTCCTCGGTCAGGTCTTTGTAATGCATGCAGAAGAGTCATGTTGCAGCCTGTCCTATTATTCTGTCTGGTAGGGGGCCAGGAGATGGGCCCTCTCTGCCATTGCACTTGTCCGCTGGAAAATACTTCGTGGAGTGAGGTCGGCTCCAACACTGCTGACCTTCCATAAGCGCCTAAAGACCTGGCTGTACCAGTCTAGTTATCCCACGTCCCCTCTATTCTGCTCTTGGCCTTCCTATCTTTTAATTGCACTGCACTGTTTAATTTTTTGTACCGACTTATTTATGTTTTAATATAGTTTTTATTTTTTACAATTGTAAGCCACTCATAGTTACCCTGAGGTAAATTTTACAAATAAATAAAATGAATAATGAATAATAATCCAGATTATAACATATAACATCATGCAGATATGTTTTGCTAAATAACCGATGTAGCATTAAAAAGCAGCACTTTAAACTGAAGTCTGAATGACTGTGATTATGTAAATATTGATTAGTTTGCAACCTGAAATTATAGAAAGTCAAGCAAAAAAGCAATCCCTCATTCACTGATTTCAATGTTCCTTTAGCAAACAGGATGGGACTCCCCAAGTACAGCAATCTCCTTTTGGTCACCCCACCAATGGCATATCTTCCACCAGTAGCAGAACTGTCGTGCTTTTACCCAGAGTAAGGAAGGTGATCCTGACAGAAATATGCAATAACTGTTACTCATACAAAGGGAGCTGAAACATTTTTAAGTCCCGAAAAACAACATAATATTCAGAAGCAGATCAGGCAGACACCTCCTTGAATCACTGGAGTATAAGAAAGAAGATGAAGTACAGTGCAATAGGAAGATTCTATTATTATAGCTAATCTGAATAAAAATAGTTTTAATCTTTTTAATCTTACTGCAGGGTTGTTTCCTGGTCTACTGTAGTGAGGCTGCACTTAGGAAAGAGAAGCCTGATCCTAAAAAACAGAGAAGCTGGAACAATTCTGCCTTTATCTGCTTTCTTGTACTTCTTAAACTATAGCAGTATTTTTCAACTGGTATCTCTAAAAGTAGTAGGCTGGACACTTAACTGGGGAAAAAGGAGACTGCTGAAGGTCTTCTGAAGGCATTAGCTTTTTTATGTGTTAGCCATTACATAGTATATTTGTGGTTTAAACAGACAGTTTAAACAGATTGTTTAAACAGACACTATGTCATTGGGGATTATTCGTGCTTTTTAAAAAAATCTGAATTTCTGCAACTTGTATTCACTACCATTCTTTTTTAATATTAGTTCAAAAGGCACTTTTTAGCTAGAGAACATGCTAGAGAACATGCACTTATTGGAAAACTGTATTTGCTTTAAACAACATGCTCTTTTCCAAAGAGCAATTTTTCCTTAAAGATAAATGGTTAACGAACACATCTTTTGGTATTTCTAATAATTTATTCAGGAGAAAAATATACAAATATATCCAATTATCCTTAAAATTCAGAGCTTTAAAAGAAGTATCTTATTTGTATAACTGAGTCACATTAAATATTTCATATTGTAATAAAGACTGAAAGTGGATATGGGCATGTGTGTTTACATGTGTGTATATCAGTCTAGACCAGGGGTGTCGAACCCTGGAAACTTTAAGACTTGTGGTATTCAATTCCCAAAAATCCCCAGCTAGCATGGGGAATTCTTGTATTTTAAATGATTTTGTAGTTGTATTTGTTGGTCTGAGATCATAAATAATATATGGGTGTGGTGATAAAACGAATAGACTATAATACAGGTTGATAAAAAGAAGCCCAGAACTATAGTAAAAACTAATAATTATTTTAAAGAATTTGGATGATTGTGAGGAATCCCAATACTACAAGCTGTAAGATACTAGCTAGCTGTAAATTCAGTTACTGAGCCTGTTTCTTAACCCTGTTTCCAAATCTCCCTGTTATTTGTTATAGACTCGGATATATTTTTTTTGGGGGGGGGGGGTTCTTTTTTTACTTAAGTTATGCTTTACGACTGCATTGAATGGTGACGGAAATTCCATTCCCTATTGTCATAACTTCAGGATTATCTATATGATCCATGATCCTTGGAAGGATATTAATTTCTGCAAATGATTTCCAACTAAGGGGAAACTTGAAGTCTGTTTCTCAATAGTAATGAGCCTACTTGGCCACATGTTGCCTTTACTTTTTTTCATTATTATTACTAGCATTAAGGTCACAGGGAAAGCAGACAGGACAGCTAAAACAGAATGTTGTCAAGAAAATGTGAAAACCCTAATAATTCTCATTTTGCCAAACACAATTAAACTCATACTGAAAAGTTTAGTATTCCCTGGATGGATTTAACATATGGTTGATGACTTTTAATCAAGTACACATTTGTTCTCTTCCAAACTTATTTTAAGCTACTGCATTTGAATTATCTTCACCCATATCACTATCGGGTTAGAATCTAAACATTTCTCCAAAGAAAAGCTGAGCAAATATATGAAAATCTAAAACTAATAGTTAAATTCTATAACATTTTCTTCTTCTAAGAAAAGACCATAAAATTCAATAGGCATTTGCATTTAAAACTATAACCTTTATTGATTTTGGGTGTTGTTGTAGCACAATGTAGCATTCTTTCATAAAAATATTGTAATTAATATTTTTAAAAGCATTCAAATCCAGATTTGAAGATTATGATGTCTACATGGCAAAGTAAATCTTAAGAGTACAAAATACTGAATAAAAACAAAAGCTCTTACTCACCACTGCTCTTTATCTACACTATAGATTAAATTAGGAACAGACAACGACAATCTATCTTGAGTTGCCTCCAAACCCATTTTTTGTACCTTCAAGGATTTGGATTGACAACCAAATACTGAAAATAAATATTATAATTCCCTGCATCTTTTTAAAATAAATGTGTTCATCAAGGCTGTCTAAATATTTAGCACAGCTTTCTTTTAAAAAGATTTCTGAAAAACTTCATCTCACCTAAAATGAAATGAACTCTCATCAAACCCTTCCTGAATAACAAAAACAAAATCTTGAAAATAAAAACAATGAGAGTAAAAAAAAATGTGAAAAAACTGAATGCCAAAGCAGGTACCCAATGCAATATAATTGAAGTTTTCCTAACCAAGATATTTCTAAGAAATCTTGTCTAATTTGATTTCCACGGCAAAAAAAAAGGGGGGGGGTCAATCAAATAAAAATAACTATCTACTGAATAAACAGCTTCATCTGGAAGAAAGGGAAGATATAATGTACAAAATCTAGATTCTGCTTTGGACTTCTCCTGGGTTATGTAAATATACCTTGTTTCAAGTTGTTGTTTGTTAACTAGACTACAGGGAAATGTAACTGCTCCTGCAATCAGGACTGTGAAACTGCAGTAATATGTTTAGATATCATGTTCAGAGTATCTAAATCGTCAAACATAGTCCCTCCTGGGACATATTTTCTCAGCAAATATACAGACAATAGAAAAAAAAATAAGCAGAATTCGAGACATTTTGTGACATTTGACAACCCAAAAGATAAACAACAGAAATAGTTCAGTAAAAATATAGCAAATATTAGCTGATATTTGTCTATAGAGAGTGTTTCTGTCAATATCAAAAAGAGTACAAATACAGTTAACAGCAAATTCCACTGAAATCAATGGGATCTGGATTTTGTTGCTTCAGTGAGAGAGGAAACATAGAAGATTAGTAAGTAAGTAAGAAAATAAGTAAATGATCAGTAACAGATTAGCACAAAACTCTTCTATCATTTCACTTGAAAATCATGAATTATTAGTCCTTTCTGTGGGATAGTAGCAATCAGATGTGACACATTTGACCAGCATGACAAAAATGCTTTATTATATAAATATATAGAAATTATACTTAACACATACTAAAAGAACATGATTTTTAAAAATTTGTATCACTTTTACAACTTATGTCCAGGGCCGCCAAGAGGATTAAGTGCTGGAACAAGACTAATATGGGTCCCCTCACCTAAACATTAAGTTAACACGACCATGAGGGTCTCCCTCCCCCTCTCCACCACCCTGTGAGAGGCTTGTTAAAAAAGGGGGTGGCTGCCAGAAAGCAGATTGGGAAGGAGAGGGGTGAAGACAAAGTACAGAGAAGCGGCATTGGACTCCGCACAGCCCACAGGTAGATTTTTTTTCTTACTGGAAGAATGATTCACTCTAGTCTATACAAATGAAAGTGACTCTTCCCTTGCCCGCCCCTCCCTCCTCCTTTGGCTTATCCTCCTGCGTTTTAAAGCCACCTCTTACCAGTTACCTTTTGGCACGGCTGGCATGCACAGATCCTCCAACTAAGCCAACAGTGGTGCCTCCTTCCTTTTGCCGTGAAGGATTTTGACAGGGTAAGAAGTGGAAGTGAACTGGAGAGAAGGGGAGAGAGAAGAGGTGGTGGAGGTGGAAGGGAGGGAGATCATTGCTGTTGCTGCACAGAAAGGACAAGCCTCCCTTCCTTTGAATTTCCTTTCATAGGCCCCCTTTGAGCTTCACAG